GAAAGGGAGGTGTGCGTGGGGGACGGGACGGACAGAGAATTAAAATTTTCGTTCGAAATCAAACAGGAATCGTTTTCCCCATTGGGAGAAAATATTCCTTCCACTAATGTTATCAAACGCAGAAAAATAGAATCAAAATTTCCCTAGAAAATATTTTCCCTCGACCAGACACATCCTAAATACAAAGGGGGATCAATTTAAGTTCGACTAGTATGCAAAACTCAGATGGTCAACTAAGGAAACCAAGTGAATATATTTGAGAGAGTGCAATTCATTTTACCTCAAATAACTTAGTGAGTTGTAAGGAATACCAGCTTCCTGATACTCCCTCCAAATCTTGGAACATGATGCTACATCCCTGGCACTTATGCAAGCACATAGGAGAAAATCAAGACACTTTCGAGATGGGAAAAGACCAAAGTCTTTCTTAATAGCTTGAAGCATATTCCATCCAAAATCCAGGGTTCTTGGTTCCTTCTCCACAAAGCGGTAGAATACCTAACCCATCATGACAAAAATTATACACACACACAGAGAGATGTATAGGGGTTGGTTCAAGCGAGAATGGTCCTTACAGCGAAAATAGACCTTATCGTGAGAATGGTGCATTTTTATGCCATCACGATGCATTTTTACATTGTGGTAGTGCATTTTTGGCACTGGGAGTAAAGTTAAACTTATTTACCATAATGCCACCATGTTTTTTCAATTTTTTAGTTTTATTGAAATTTTCAAGCCCTTAGATCTCTTACATCTAATGCACGAGATGCATTATTATTTCTTTCATTAGATTGCATTCTCACTTGATCCAATATATATATATATATATATATATATATTTATATATATATATATATATATATATATATTTATATAGATTTTGGTTCAAGTGAGAATGCGATCTTATGAAAGAAATAAGAATGAATCTGGTGCTTTAGATTGTGAGATATATATATATATATATATATATATATATATATATATATATATGTTAGAGAGAAAAAGAAAAGAAAAATGAAAGGAAATGAAAATGAGAAGAAAAAATGTACTAAGAGAGGGAAAACCAAATTCCTCCCCTTTTGGTGAGGAAAATGAGAGAAAACTGTTTTCTTTTCTTTTCCTTCCAAATTTCTTGAACCAAACATAGTGCAAGTCTCTTAGATGCTCTATAATAAAGAGATGAGTAGAACCTCATCAAAAAGAAACTCCAAAGCCAACTCATCATTGCAAAATATATCCTTAAGTTTCCTGAGCAACTCGATGGCAGAGCTGGAAACAAAAAACAGAAAAGACATAGTAAGCTAATCCAATAGCAGAAAAAATTTAGAAGAGCTAATGATAAATTACAACATATTTCATAGCGAAAGCAACCTATGCCTTTTACTAATGGTAGCAAGTACCAAATCCATGTCACCTCTCCGGGTAGAGCAAACAAGTGGGCAACTCACAAGCTCATCACACCAAGTCACCAGACCTATGCCAACACCAAATAATTCCCCTTTCTAAATGACTAATGACCCGTAGTGTGCTTTTAAATGAAATCAACAGAAAATAAATGCTAATATGGACAATGGTGGCAATAAACTGGCATTTTTGCTTCTAGTTTTTTTTATTCTCCAAAATTTTTAATACTCCAGTTGTCCCTAATTAAACTTCACTTTCCTTTTTCATCCGTCTCAAGATAAACTCACACTTCCTTTTAAGGATAAGAACATGTGATTCACAGCAATTCTCTTTCAACCACATAGATTTCACTTATCAACCATCATCTTAAAACAAACTGGCTATAAGATGCAGAATGGCGTAAAGAAAACCTCTGGGACCAAATGTAGCCCTTTAAATAATTTTTTGATTAGTAAAGTCAAGGTTCCGAAAGATGCAA